AGCTCTATGCCCAATGTGGGGCTTGAACCCACGACCCCAAACATGCTCCACTGACTGAGCCAGCCAGGTGCCCCTGTAGAGTTGTGTCTTAAAGAGATTGAGGTAAGGCACAGAAGAGTACAGCATTGCACATCCTAACCCCAACCAGGGATCTTCCTAAGTTGAGCCCATCCCTCCTCTACTGAGGTCCTTCCCCAGGCCACTCCAACAGTTCTCTGGTGCTGCCCGAGGAAATGCCCTGGTTTGTCCACTTCCTTCTGCACCTCCCCTACAGCTGATAGGCCGGTTTGCTTCCCTGGGGTCTGCCATGCCTCATGCATACCTTGTTTTGGACTAGTGTTGCACATTCGTCCCTCAAATTCTACCTTCAGACCTCAGCCCCAAAACACCCTCTAGAGTTCCCCCAGTCTCCTGGGTTAGGAGCCCAAAGTCAGATTCAGAACTTGTGCTGTCTAGTTTGAGATTAACCCAAACTGTTTATTGCTCTTGAAAGACTCAGACTTAGGTACTTTCCTGAAGAAAGATACTTCCTGTGGAAGATGCCCCGTCCCCGCCCTTGAAAGCTAACACCTCTTCATCACCTGCCTGTGACAAATAAGCCCCCTCTGTTCTAACTTTCCCACCCAGCTGCCTCCCAGCACCAGAGATGGTGGATTTGAGGGGTGTTGGTAGGAGAGGGTGGGAACGTGGGAACCTCTACCACATACACCCAAACTGCAATCTCTAGCCTGATTCTCTGTGGTTCAAGGAGAGGGGAGGGCTCCCTGATTCAGTTCACTCTAGTCGGGGAGCAGGTTAAGTTAAAGTGAAGTCTCTAAAAAATAAAAATAAAACGAAGTCTCTATCTGTAAAACTAGGCAGAAGGGGAGAGTGAAAAATGAAAGGATCTGGTTGGAGAGAATCTGGAGGGGAGCTTCTCCTTGCATGTTGTTCTCACTCTATCCCTCCCACTCTGTCCCTCCAACCATATTTCTGCTCAGAAGGGCTACTGAGAGAGGGAGCCTCAAGGCCGGGACACATGCCCCGGGCCAGCCAGTGGGCCCTGCGTTCTGCTTCACTCCTAGTTAGCAGGAAGGTTGAAGCTGGCTGAGTGAAGAGTGTGGGTCTCCACAGACCCACCCCTGCAGCTGTGAACACCTGCTTGCAGGGAGGCCCAGGGGGTTGGGGAAGTCTAAGAGATAAATTTAGTCTGAAGGCTGCAGCTTAATTGGGTGGGTAGTTACCCTGGGGAAGCTGGGAGGGGGGAGGGGAGAGGAATTCTGACCCCGCTGAACTGAGACCTCACAAGTTCACCCCCAAATACACTGATAGAGAACCACAATCCCCTTCCCCCAGCAAACACTCAGAAATGAGGAGCACTCAGCAAGACACTGGCTGGTTTCTGCACGCTTGATCTCTCGTGCATTATCAAGATTGTTCCTATAACTACCCCACCCCCACCTCAATTCTCAGGGGTCCAGTTCCTCTGTGTCCTTCCCTAAATTTCCCCCCGTGCGCCAAACCTTGGGGCCCCTCCACCACATCTCTCTGGCCTTGGCTTGCAGCTTCCTCTCTCCCAAGTCCCTCTAGAGGGTTTCAGAGGTCAAAGGAGAGGTGTCTGGCCACACTACTCCCCTCGAAGGGACTAGGAAAAGGGGTTGCTCCGGGTCAAATTCCCCTTCCTGAAAGCTTCCACATTGACCCCATACTGACTTCAGTGACCAGAGGGAAGAATCCTTAGGGGCTGCACTGCATCCTAGCTTTAAAATGAAAGGGGAAAAGGGGCAACCCCCCCGAACGAAAGCCCACATATCCTGAGAAGTCAGAGGCTGGTGGCTGTGAGGGAGCTCAGGGGCAACCACAAAGAGCAAGGAGGTGCTGAAGCTGGGGGTGCCCTAAGAGGGGCTGTGGCTGCATTCCCCACCTGTGATTGGTTCTCAGACTCAGGCCAAACTCCAAACCTGCCCAGCAACAGCCCTGAGAGGCCCTAAGAGGGAGGGGAACTTCGGAGAAGTCAGCTGAGCTGGGGCCACCGCCCAGGCTGCCGCTTCCAGGAATCGCTGGGAGGGCCCCAGCTATTCACTGCCACCCCTCCCTTGGTCTTAGGACTCGGCCTGCAGCCCTTGGTTATCTACTGGGCTGGCTCAGGTCCCACTTCCCTGGTCCCCACATCTCTGATCCCCTTACAGGTTCACCAGAGAGAGAACATGTCTAATACCTCGTCTTCAGGCTCAGCAGAGACACCGAGACCGGGCTTGCCTTGCCCTTTTCCTCACTCCTTCCCCAGGGCTCGTCAGTTTCATTTTCCTCTCCCTCCACTCCCTTGGCCTCCTTCGTCACCCACTGTCCTCCCAAAACGTTGCCCAAAGTCTTCCTTCTCAGCCACTTCCAACCCAGGAAGAGTCTACGTCCCAAGGTAACAGCATGACCCCAGTTTGCTGCTAGAGTAGAAATCCTACATCCTAGGGCAACTCTGGTATCCTTCACAGGGTCTTGGTGTGTTCAAGGAAATAGGAGTCACTGAGTTCAACTGTTACCACAGGCCTTTACTCATGGTCTTACTTGGTCAGACTTGTGGAGGTGCAGAGATGGGGGAGGGATGCTTCCAATGGGGATGAGTCTGATTCTGTTGCACTGCCCCCCTTCCTCTCCTAGACACAGGAACCCCCAAGAAATCTGGCTTCCAGAAGCAGAGACCTGGAACTCAGACCTCAGAACTGCAGGGGTCAGGGAAAGGATCTGTATTATGAAAAGGCTGCCCGCTCTCATACCACCTCTAGCAAGCTTTTACCTCGAGAGATGACAAGAGCGAAGGGAGGGAGACTACGATGATACATCTCTGAAGAATGCGTCTTTGGCAGGACATCCAGTACTGCCTTGGCTCCACCCCCGACCCCGCCCTAAGTCCCCTAGAGCCAGGCCAGGCTCCTCCTCCTCCGGGCGTTTCCGCTGAGGGCAGGGGGGAGGGGCAGAAATCACTTCCTTTCCCCCGCACCTTAGCAAAAGCAATAAACCAAGAGCTTAATAGGGAAATGGGTGACAGCGGAAAGGACGGGGGAAGCAGGCAGGGAGGGCCAAAGAAAGAGAACAGGAGAAAAGACCCCTGCAAAGCCAACCGCTGTTCAACTCAGCCCCAAACTGAAAGCAGGGCTACTAGATTCTAAGAGACTTTACAGAAAGACTCAGCCTACGGAGAAACCCACCATAGGCCAGGCAGTTTTTCCTCAGCTCTGGAACCAAGCTCCCAACTCCATACTTAAGTGGGAGAAGTGGTGACCTCTAGTGGTCGATGACCAACCTACGGTTGGCCAGGATCCTCTCCCGTGATTGGGGCTCACATAATAGCCTTTCTGGGCCCAGACTCTCTCCGCCTGGGCTATAGGTGCTGTTCCCCCTTCCCACCCCTCATTCTGACCTCACACTGCTTGTTTAGGTGGCCCAGGTGGCTGGGTTCCCATCAGGGCAATAAAGAGCCTGTTTCTCATTTGTCATAATCATCTTTAATAAAAAATAAATTAGTTCTGGGATGGGAACCATTTTAGGAGGTGCAGAGTGGGAGCAGGGGCTAGGGTGTCTTGTTCTATTTTTTCTTTTTTCCATCCTCTGCCCAGCATCCCTGCTCTGGGGAGGTAGCCTCTCTTCCTGGGGTAAGGCGGGATTGGCAGTGGCTGACCCCCATCATCCCTAGCTGATGGTGAGAGGTAGGGATAGAGAGACTAAGTATGGGGAGAAGCAGTCAGACGATAATGGTGGTTTAGAAGAGGTGAGGCCTCAACATGAGAACTGCAGTTTAGGGCACAAAGTTGGGGTTGATGGGGAGGCCAGTTGCTAGGCAGTCTGGATTACTAAGGAGCTGCAAACTTGCTTTCCTCTCAGCCTAGAAAAGTCTCAGGGCAACAGGCATTGTCCCCTCTCCACTCCTCTTCAGTCTGTTTCACTTCTTTTTGGGGGGAAGTAATATACGTGTAGGAGCACATGCCATATATGCCGGGCCCCGATACACACTGGGGGCCTGTGTGCACACACACACACCATCACACCACACACAGACCCAACCACACATCTTGATAGTCACCTTGCCACCTTCAACCACCCTAGGGGGCGTCCCTGATGAGACTAGGGCAGGCTGGAGAGCCAGAGAGTACAGAGTGGGCCGATGGGTGGGTGACTGATGGTGGCACGAGGAAACCATGAGGAGAAGGTCTCTTGGGCCCATTTCAGGCAGGCTCTGGGGGAGAACGCTCCAGGACACGGGCGCAAGAGCGGCAACAGGTGGCTGTGTAGTATGGATAGACGCAGAGACGGGCCTGTACCACCAGGGGGCAATGTGGAGAGCTGTCCTTGCATTGATCATCTGGGGACAGAGGAGGCCAGGGGGCATGTCACCCAGACCCTTCCCTCCGGAGATGCAGTGCCCACTCCCACTGGTCCTCTCTCATCTCCCCCATACTTCAGTTAACTCCACTGTACTAGGGGCTAGGGGGGCGGAAAGGGCTCCTTACCGGGGCGCTGGCTGCAGGGTTGGCTGTTACAGGGTTGTTTCCTGGAGGGCCGCAGGTGAGGAGGGCATCGGACGCTGAGGGTCTGGTTGGCGGTCAGGCACTGGACCTCCCTCGTCTGCGTACCCCCCTGGCAGGAGCGAGAACACTGCGGAGACCCCGCTATCAAATCAGACCCTCGCTATGACCAGGTTCCTCCTGAACCCCAGGCCACCTACTTCTCTGAAAGTAGTGTGTGCATGTGTGTGCTGGGCGGGGGGGGGGGGGGGGGGGTCCTGTCCTGGAACACTGTGAAATCCCACATGGACAGGGCCCCCCTGTCCTCCACGTCTACAGGAAGTGGGACAATGATGAACCAACTGCAGCTGGCCTTATCCTGGGACACAGTGGGGACACCATGAGAGAAGCCTCCCTTTCCCTGGCAGTCCGTGCTTAGTAGGACAAGGGAGCCAGGCACTCACCGGACTCCAGGGTGTAGAAAACCATCGGTCCTGGCAGTCCTGCCCCTGACAGGGCTGCAGGGCAGGGGGCCTGGGCAGGTGGGAACAGTTGCTGGGAGAAGTCACGTTGAACTCAGTACCCAGTTTGGACACACAGATGATGTCTCTACGCTGCGTGCCAGAGCCACATTCTGAGGAGCACTGATACAGAGGAAGGGTAGGGTGTGCAAGGGGAAGGGAGAACAGGGATCACTCCCGCCAGCCCACAGGGAATCCCACTGATGGACACCCCCCTCCCAGGCTCTTGGCTCACCTCGGCCCAGGGCCCCGTGTACCAGCACCATGTCCTCTCACAGGGTCCCAAGCTGCAGGCGCGCATGTCCGGGGGACGGCTTCCTGCTGCACAGCTCTGCTCACCGGTCCCTGCTCCTGCTCCCACCTGGCCCGCCCCGTGGGCCTCCCCGCTCCCGAGGCAGACCACAGACCGGCGCTGGATCCCTGTCCCACACTCGGCGGAGCACTGTTGAGAAGGTGATGGATTGAGGAGGAGGGGCTGAGGGTGGCGCATCCTGGATCCCCAGAGTTAGGGAGTGTCCCGGGTACCAGCCAGATAAGAGGAAGCTGTACTGGGGGTCGAGGACCCTGATGTGGGTTTTTCTCACTTATCCCAGAGTTCCAGCATCAGCAGCACCCAGCACATAATAGGGCTTGCTCGGTAAGTGTATACTGAAATGTGTCCGAAAGGTCCTGGGTGTGGGGCACCAGGGACGCACGACTCGGAGAAGGGGTGTGGGGCCCACCTTGGAGCTCCAGTCGCTGTGGAACCAGGCTGTGGTACAGGGCCCCATGTCACAGGCCTCTCTGCTGGAGGGCCGCGGAGGGCCTGCCGCACACTCCCTCTCGCTCACTTCGTCACCGTTGTTCCCCACACAGCGGACTTGCCGGCTCCTCTGGCCCCGCCCGCACCGCACTGAGCACTGAGGGGAGGAGAGCCTCTGAGCGCCCCGACTCCCCGGCTTCCCCCCTTCGAACCAAGCCCTGCCTTTGGTCCCTGACTCGGCGGTTACACGGCTTTATGGGCTGAGGGGCAGGCGGAACAGGTGGCTCTGGGCCCCCAACCCCTGGTTCAGTGTCTTACCGGATTTACAGACCGGGGTTTCACATGAGATCTTGTTATAGTAAAAAAGCTTCTGCTGATTCAAAAGGACAGGAGAGACCACTGCTCTCGCCCACTGGTGCCCGTTCATCTAGGGTCCTTCCCGCCCAGCAGCCTCCCCGCCGGGTCCCGCTCACCTGGCTCCAAGGGGAGCGAACCTCCCAGTGGCCACAGAGGCGCAGCTGACACGGCTGGGTGGCACTGGGCCGAGGGAGATGCCCACAGCGCTCGGGAGGCACCGAGGAGCCGCCACCCGCGAACTCCTGCCGGCAGAGCAGCGGGCGGTGCTGGGCGCCGGGGCCGCAGGAGCGGCTGCACGACGTCCACTCGCCCGCCTCCCAGCTGTGGGCGCGGCGGCCAGAAGAGGCAGAGACACAGAGGAGGAAAACCGAGATGGGTAGGGCTGCCGTGCGTGGGGCGAGGGACCACAGCCCCGGGGTGGGGGGGCCCACAGAGGAGAGGGAGCAGCTTCAACACTTGGAGTCTGAGTGCCCTCGTGGGGCTCGGGCTGCCAGGGTTTTCCTCCTGTCTGGGGAGCGTAAGCCTTTCTTTTTTTTTTTTTTTTTTTTTTAGGATTTTATTTATCTATTTGAGAGAGAGAGCGTGTGCGCGCACAAGCCGGGGTGGGGGGAGGCAGGCAGAGGGAGAAGCAGACGCCCCCCTGAGCAGGGAGCTCGATGCAGGGTTCGATCCCAGGACCCTGAGATCATGGCCTGAGCTGAAGGCAGACACTTAACCGACTGAGCCACCCAGGCGCCCTGGGAATGCAAGCCTTTCTAATCAAACACTGTCCCTCCGCAGCCAGATCTTGCGTGCTGGGTGCAGAGTCCAGGGTGAGATCCTAAGGCAGTGTGGATGTGTCTGCCTGGGACAACTCTTGGGTTCCTAGGACCCTAGCCCTCCCTGTGGGTCATACTCACTATGGGGGGCATGGAGGACCATGGCAGGGCTCCAGGGGGGCTGGGGGCCTGGCACCCATGGCGCAGCTGTGCTCATCCAGTTCCTCCCCTGACTCACGAGAAATGCAGAGGAAAATGGGGCGCCAAACACCTGAAGTGGATGAGAGGGAAGCCAGGAGAGGCAGGATGGCTCAGAGCCCAGTGTCAGTGGGGTCCCAGACACTGGAATTTGACCTGGCACAGAGTGAAGGTATGGACCCACAATCCAGGGTGTGGGATCAGGAGTGCCAAGTCAGGGATTTGGGCTAAGGGTGCCAGGAATACAGGCTGGTGCCTGAAGTCTCACCTTTTCCACAGGATGCTGAGCACTCTGAGTGTCCCACTCGCTTCCAGTATCCAGTTGGAGACCCCAGGGGTGTCCTGGGATGGGGTGGAGCATGCATCTGGGGGATCCGCACCTGACGCTGGAGGGTGCCTGGGGTCCGGGCAGCGCGGGGCATCGAAGCGGGTGGGGGCTCTACTCTCAAAATCTCTGTGCAGGGACAGTTGAGTAGGCAAATCAAATACACCCCACTGCCTTGAAGCTCCGCTTTCAGCCCCTCCCCGCCTCCTAGGTCTGGGGAGCAGAGTCTCACCCGGCTGGAGCTGGGGGAGGTGGGGCTCTGCCATGGTGCTCTCAAGGTTTGGAGGAAGTGAGGAGATAACATACTGATAAAAAATGCCTGGGTTTTCCTCCTGAAAGATCACCTGGGGAGAGAGAAGATAATGAATTGTCTGGCGGAGGTAAGGGGCCGCATACCACTAGCCTTCTCCTCCATCTTGTGGCCCACAGCTTTGCCGCCAGAGGGAAAGGCCCCCCATGTCCAGCAGTCCAGCTTCCCCAGGCCCCAAGCTCACGTAGACATCCACAGGCTGGGTCGTGGGGCCTCTGGCTGACAGACTCTCCCCCTTGCCCTCCTCTCGAGAAGGACGGTTGTACAGGAAGACAGTCCCGCTGGCCGAGTAGGACCCGGGGGGATCCACAGCCCAGTTTCCATTGATGATGGACTGGCCCCCAGGGCCTCGAAGGGCTGGAGATCGGAGGTCAGGACACGAGGTCAGTCACACTGTCCTCTTCCCACCCCTCCCTTAGCCACACAGAGCCCCTGATGCCCCGCACCCTCTCGGCTTCCTCCGCCACCTCCCACCTCCGCAAGGGAAGGAGCCCCTGGCTTCTCTCTGCTTGGCCCATTTGCTGTGCTCAACGGGGGTGTGGAAGGCTGAACCAAGAAACCAAGACTGGAACAGGGACCGAAGACTCGGAGAATCTGGAGAGCTCACCGAGATAGTTGGAGCTGGGCCGGAGCTGGGCAATCTGGAGCTGGGAGGCCCCAGCAGGAATCGACAGGATCTTCCGATAGCCCAGAGGGCCGCCCCGGTCCGTGAGGTTGCCAGAGACGAGGCGGCAGGTGGAATCATCCCCTCCACAGACCCCACAGCCATCCGGACGCCTGCCAGAGCCGAGGATCCCATCACAGCCGGGGCTCTGGGGGAGAGTGAGGCAGGGGCTGCCGGAAGCCACACACCGCCGCACCCCTGCCTGGTCGTCTTGGGACCCTCCAGCTCACCCTGCATCTGGATCTTCACACTGTGAGTGAGAAGATGTTCCTATGCCAGCCCACCATCCCCAGCCAGCCTCAGGGAAGCGGGGAGGTGCCTGAGGGGTTTCTTCCAGCAATTCACCTCCCAGCTCTGCTCTCACCTCCAGCTGGGCAGGTGAGAACCTTCCTTTTTGCAATCTCAGCCTGGTGTTTTGTTTCTGTGGTGATGACTAAGGAGACTGCGTGCATGGGTGCGCGCACACACACACACACACACACACCCCACCCTCTCTCACCAGACAGCGTCCGGCCACACAGATGTCTAGGGCTCCAGGCTGACACAGGGTCCCATCCTGGACCTTTTCCGTGTGACGGACATAGAAACGGAAGCCGCGGGGACGACAGTTCAGTTCACAGCGTTGGGAGCCCTGAACTAAGAAAGAGGGTGGGAGAGTGGTTAGTGGGGGTCCCTGGTGGGAGGCTGACAAAAGTCCCATCTTAGCTATGGAACATCCTAAGCTCGCCTACATCTCCATGGATGAAGGAAACAGGACAATTCCATATTCTGAAATGTTGCTTTGAGGGTCACACAAAAGTTGAGTCAGGTCAGTTGAGGTCACTGAGATCAGCAAAGGGGTTGTGAGCCGTGAGAGAGAAGAGATACCCGAAGCCTATGATTATGTGAGCTCATGAAGGGGTTTCTTGGCTTCGGGTTGACACAGGCTGAAAATCAAGTGGACAGTAACTTGGGAGCAAGTGGCCTACCGCCAGCCAGCCCCACCCTGCTGTCACCACCGGACAGGGTCTCTCTGACCATGCCCTTCTCGTGTCATGCCCGCCCCACCTCCTGGGACGGGCTTCTTCCCAGAGGCAGCCAGCCAAAGGGCACCTCTGGGCACGCCCTCTCCCAGCCTGATCCCTCTGCTGGGTTATCCATCACCACCTGACTGCTGGGCCCTGTCTGAAACCCATGCCCCTTTCCCGGCTTGTGCGGTCTCTTCACCCCAACCCTGAGAAATAAGAAAGAAAATATTACACAGAGGGGAAATGCAAGGGCCTAGAGAAGAGAAATAGAGGAGCTGGTGTCTCCCTCTCCCCATCATCCCCCAGTCTGAAGCCAGTTCAGCTTCCCAGGGGGGTGGGCTAGAAACCTCACCTTCTGTGAAGGGCTCCCACTGGTACAGCTGGCCCATGAACTCCTGGGAGTCAAAGGCTGCACACTGCAGGGCCCGGGGGTCTGGCTGCTCAGGGGGGCAGGGCTGAGGTGGGGGGGATACAGAGGAGTCAAAGCTGGGGAGGAAAATGGGGGTGTGGGTCAGGGCTGGATTTGGGGGTGTGGGAGGGGAGGTCAGGTCTGTGGAAGAGCTCCAAGGCCCCTACCCTGAGGAGGTCAGATGCCAAGGCCCTTCGCCCTCAGGTCCAGATCTGACAAGCTGAGGACCCAGACTTAGGGTCAGGGAAGCAGAATTGCAAGTCTGGGGAGGGGATGGTCCAAGGAAGAACTCACCGCTTGGCTGCAGGCTCTCAGCTGCTCACTCTCCCCAGAACATCTTGGGACAGGGCTACTGGGAGCAAAGAGGCTCCAGAGGGAACTGGAGTGGGGGCCATCACTCAGCAGAGGCAACCAGCCATCTGGGTAGCGGGGGGTAGACTCCATGAGGGACCCAGGAAGATTCCCCCCAGGTCTCCAGTGCTCCTGGCTCTGGTGGCCTCTGCCCCGAGGGACAGAAAGGAAGGGATTAGGGTGCCTCTCAGCCACCCGGAGACTGGCCCAACCCTGGGAATCTGGCGTTCGTGGCTGAGGGGACACATGGAAGGAGCTACTTTCTCCTGGGGAGGGGATGGACGAGGGGGGCTGTGTACCAGAGGCCTGGGCTCTGGGGTGGGGCCGTGTGGGGGCAGGCCTGGTTCTAGAAGGCACCTCCGTCTGAGCAGTTTCAGGGCTTGGGGGTCCTGCTGGGGGGGGTGGGGAGTGGGCAGAAAGTTCTGTAGGAGGGAGCTGAGTTTGAGCTGTGTGGTTTGTGGAGGCTGGTTCTGTCCTTGAAGTCAGGGATGGAAGATCTGAGGCCTGGGAGAGCTCAGCTCTGGGCGGCCCCCCGGGGTGCCTGCGATTCCGATGCAGTGGCAAAGCAAAGGGCACTCTTCCATAACCAAACATTCCGGGCTTGATGGAGTCTCGAACCTGGGACCTGAGAAGGTGTAGCAGACATGGGGTCACAGCTCTGGCCGACTCGGACCTACCTCCCCAGCCTGCTTCCTAACACCAAAGATAAGCCTCCCTAAGCCAAGCACCTTTGCTCCCTCTCCTTCATTCCCGAGCCCCGCCCCTCACCCGAGGCCCCGCCCTCCCCTCGAAGCCCCACCCCCTCACCTCCGAGCTCCTGGAATCTCCCGGGCCTCTGCTCTCCCTAGTTGGGAAGCAGGACCTCGACGTGGGCCACCTCTTCCCCGAGGCTGTGGCCTGTACAGGGGGAGGGTTTCTCGGGAAGTCTGAGGTCTGGGGCTCTGACCCCGGGGGAGCAGGGCTTCTGGATGTCTTGGGGGCCGGGGTAGGAAGGGCAGGCCCTGGTGGAGTTGAGCTGTAGGGAGCTGACAGGTCCGGCTCCTGCGCTGCACCCCAACTCCACAGGGCTGGGAGCAAGAGGCCCACTGGTCCCAAGGACCCCAGACACCTTCAGGGCCCTGACCCTCCTCGGGGGCTGTCTGAAGAGAGTGTCCAGACAACACCTGTGTGGACAAAAAGATCAGACAAAATTAGGAGGATTTTCGAGGGAACTCTATAGGGTATCTAGTCCAGTACCCGAGGGTCTAACTAAATTTGGCAAGGAGTCAGTGAGTTGGAGGGTGGGAGGAAGGCAAATGTGAAAGGCGCCATGGCTCATCAGAAGCTGCGCGAATGGCCAATCGGGCGCCTGGCCTGGAGAAGTGAGGTGGGCGCCAGGGAGGATGACAGGAGCACAACCTCTGGTCCCTTGCTTACCTCCTGATCCAGGCAGAGCTCAGGGAGGGACAGAAGCAGCATCAGACACAACCGGGGCCTGCAACCCAGGCAGACGAAGTGTTATGACACCCTCTCCCCCGCAGCAGGCTCCCCACATCCTGACGCCAGCTTCTCAAAAAGCAGAAGTTTCCCATCACTTGCCCCCGCCCCGCCCAGTAATGGCCTTTCCTCCCTTCCAGGGACAGAGCCGCCCCTCCGGCTGGCAGCCCCACACTTACCTGCCCGCCCACCTCTCCATCGCTCCTCCCTCGACGCCCCGGGCCGGGGCGAGGGGACCGGAAGTAAACACACTACTCAGGCATCTGGGTGTGGAGGGGGCGCGCTCTGTGGGGACAGAAGCCTGGTGGTTACCTCTCCTGTCTCCAGAAAGCTGGGGGTTGGCGGGGATGGCTCCTCAGAAGGGCATCTCCGAGTGAGGATGGAGGGGTGGGGGAAGGCTGGCCCACCCCTTTATGACCCTAAGGGTGAGAGCGGGAAGGAATGCTGCCCTTTCCCGACCGCTGAGGCTAGAGGGTGGGGGTCTGACCTCAGCCTCCCGACGGGGGCACAGTCCCCTCCCCTCAGCCTGCAGGAACTCTTCAGCTCCTCCCTCCTCCCCGCTGGGGCCTGCTTCCAGGCCGGCTCAGGCCACACAGGCACACGCGTCTTCCTTAAGACGATTTTCATCTGGTTTGCCTCCTGCCCTTCCAGAGGTCCTGGACAGTTGAGGGAGGCATGGCTGAGTACATGCCGATACCCACTCTGAGGAGCTGACCGGAACCCCCTTGGGCTTTCCTTTTCTTACTCGCCTCCCAGGCTTTTCTTCCTTTTTTTAACTAAGCTCCTTCTGGAACACTCGGGCGCATCTCTGCCCTCCTCAAAACACTTTCTAGTGAGAGATAAACTAAATGGGCTGATGGTTTAATCTCTAGAGAAGCAGCTGATGTTCCCATTTTATTTAACCTCCCTCTAGGGGCCAGAGTCCCTGGGCATTGGTTCAATGAGGGCTTATTTCAGGCCCAATGATGATGGGCTGGGGGAACCTGGGAAGGAGAGATGCAGCTACAGCTGCCCTTGCTCCCCAACCACAGGCCTATCATTCTGGGGAGCCAGGAAGTCCATCCTGAAGTCTGGTTTTCATCATCAGGGAAGTGGAGCTGGGAACCCTACCCTGGTCTCAAAGCCCCCTGCTGCTCAGCGTGAGCCCTTCCCACCCCCACTCCCCAACCCGCTCTCAGTTCTGCTTTCCAGGAAAAAAAAAATGTTTCTGTTGGATCTGAAAGGCACCCGGGAGAGGAATCCAAGGAGCTAATGCCAAGGTGGGCCAGCTCAGGGGCAGGAAAATGACAGAGGGAAGGGCAGGAATGTACTTGGGGGTAGCAACACTCTCAGCCCCACTCCCCTCCCTGAGACCCCAAGACTTGGAAGTTTGAGGGAGGGTTTGCAGAGGTTGCGTCAGAATGCACAGGGGCACCTCAGCTGTTCTGGGTTGGGAAGGGGTTGCTGATGGCCGCTCCCTCCCCTGGCTGGGCTGGCCACTGAGGTCAGCAACTCCACCCTGATGGGGGCGTAGGGGCTCCAGAGCAGGGCCAATGGTCCACCCAAACCTTCAGCTCTCTGCCTGACTCTGTTGCTTGAGGTTGAAGAGGAGATATGGCGGTGATGGTCACTGTCTGCCCCTTCTCTACTACTGGGTACCCTCTCCACTCCCTCTCGGCCTCTGCTTCTCTCTGCCCCCACCCCCACCCCCCGCCCTGGGTCTGTAT